AGTGATTGTCAACAGGGATCCGGTCAGAGAGAGAAAGTACACTGCATACCAGATTTGGTTTCCCCCACCCACCGGTAATGGTATGCACCTATCAAAGAGAGCCGTCAGGTTGTCAGATCGATGGAAGGGATGGAAATGGTGCTCACGTCACTTCCACAGACACCACAGTAATGAATTTTGATCTCGACATCAGTATCGCCAAAGGGTTTAGGCTCGAACTCGATGAGCTTGAATTTTTCCCAGTCGCTGGTGTCTTCAATGCTAAAAATGATGAAGGAGCATGAGTTCTGGAAACCGACGAGAGAAAAAGAGTCAGGACGCACGCGTATCCTTTGAACTGTAATGCCGACATTTTCGTTCAGGTAGTGCGGAAGATTAAGTATGGAGGAAGCGGAGGTGGATGGGTAGGTAGATAGGGACGATAGCAATTTGCCTCCGGGTTGCAAAGGTCTTTATACCTGATCGAGGACCTTGCCGTTCCGCGTCATGGCCCGGTCGTCGTGGTATGCGAAATATCCGAGCATATCCGGCTGTAAGCAACGATAGAAGATATTCGTCAGCGTACCGCGGATTATAAGCCATGCATTATTCATGGAAGAAGGATATGGATGATCTCAAATAGCAGTTACCATGCGGCTGATTCGCAAATTCCAAAATTTTGGAAGAGGATCGGCCTCGTTTCCTCAGCCCTGTGTACGTTATAGTACAGATAGAACCATTGTCAGTAGTAAGTAGAATAGAACTATGAATCGAAACATACCTTCAGATAAGTATGGATGAAGTTACTGCCGGATATCAGGTTTCTCGAAAACCGGGAGCGTCAAATGGCAAAGGGGAGTGCTGAAAATAGTATTCCAAGAGGTTTGACAAGCAGCGCCAAATAAATGATCGGGTTCTCAACGGACTTTAGACGGACAAGCTTGTCCTATCTTGGTATCTAGCCCTGCCGTTTTGCTCCTTGACATCATTGTTGGAAATTTGAAGCTTCTACAAGCCCTCGGGCTTCTTATTTTTCTCACTACAAGACCGCACGGAACCGTAGTAACTGTCTCTTTGAGTTACTTCACAGGGAACAGTAATGAACCCTATAGCGTCCGCATCGCAAGAATTTCCGCACCAAGGATGTGCAGAGCACTGTCACGTCATCAGGAAAATTTCATGTATTCGTTGGCTATTGAACAATGACAAAGATAGTGGGAAAGACGATGAGCGAGAAAGAACTAAGTTACTAATTGCTACAGTGGATTGAGTCGGATGCGTAATAAAGAGGTCCTATGTACAATAATATGCAAGGATTCAGATGCGGTTGGCTACAAACTTAAGAAGAACAAAAAAAAAAAAAAAAGCGAGGCAATGAACGAGTGAATAATTAAAATCTAAGTCTCAATGAGTGATAGTGGGCAGGGTTGCATGATTAGGAAGAAAAAGATGGAAAAATTGAAAGGATGGCGTAGTTGGCGGGGAGGCCAACAATTTTAGAACGTTGAACAAAATGGCAGTCGGCAGCGATAGCAGCAGCATTAGGCTGCGCTGCGCAAGAACATCTCCACGGGAATAGGCTTCCTCCTCAATCCAGAGCTTGAAGTGCTTGACGAGCTCACTTCACTCCCGGCATCGCTAATGGTGCTCACACTTCCTCTCCTCCGAACACCTGGCTGATGTCCGTAGCCAATAAGGATCACGTCCGAGTTGCCTCGCGAATGACGTCCACGAGCACTAGGAGAAGCGGACACTGGAGCGGGAGAGGGTGAGGTGTGCCCCTTGGTGCTGTTCCTCCTGGGTGAGATCAAGGCGGAGAACGGGGATGTAGGTGTGGAAGGAACCGCTTTCTTGGCGGACTGCGAGGTGCGCTTGCTCTTGGACGGCGACGAGGACGAGGACGGGCCACCTCCGAAGTAAAGTCTGAGCTTCGAAGACGGGCTTCTGCGCTCGTGCTCCTCCCGAACGGAAGCGAGGGTGGACGTACTCCACTTTGACTTGAGCATCTTCTCTTCGTTGTAATATGGGCTGCGGTGGGGAGAAGGTGATGGTGAGGGTTGATCAGAGTGATAAGGCGATGGTGAAGGCGATGGCGAGAATGAGAATGAGCTTGAGGTAGACTTGGATGAGAAAACGTCATTAGGAACTTCTTGAGGTTGAGGGGGGCGCTGAACACCTTCCACTGCATGTTGCGGTTGCTCCTGAGCAGCAGATTCTTCCTCCACCGTCCACAGTTTCTCTAATCCCACATTAATGTCCGCCTCCAGTCCAAAGGCGTAGTAGGCAAAGAAAGAGGGAGCTGAAGGGTGTAGTCCAAATCGAACGTCACTTCCTGGCCCGAGAAATCGTCAAATGAAGGTTGAGAGTAGGCACTAGCAGGGCTTTCTGGACCATCTTCATCCAGGCAGTGGTCAAGGTCAATCTCATACATAGAGAATGAGAATGTAGAGGAAGATTCATCCCCATCCTCTCCAACGTCTACCTCGAAGCCGCAGTCAGCAGGGACACTTGAGCGGGGAGGAGGTCGAGGAGCATCATTAGCAAATGACGCAGCGACAGGTGAAGGTGAAGCAAGCTGGAAATCGACCAATGAAAGGACTGACGAGCGGTACTGCAGAGGGACAGGTGGCACAGGTGGTGGAGGGTACTTTGGAATGCTTCTCGTTCTACTGACTCGTTTAGATCGGAAAGTAGGTTCCAGTTGCCCAATGGGACCTTCCGAGTTTCTCCGAGTAGGGGTGGTGGGAGTAGGAGGGAGGGCTTTCGACACACGTCGCCGAGTAGGACGTGGAAGAATTGTATCTGCAGGAATAGACATCGACTCCGGCCTTGCGTGTTGGTATGGGAAGGAAGGCGGGATGGGGGACAAAACCTTCGATAGTTCGCGTGTGTACCATTCCGAATCAGATTCTTGTTCCGAATCCTCTGAGAAATTGTCATGCAAAAATGCGGAGATGAGAGGGGAACGAATGGGCGCAGAACTGAGACTTTGCTCAGATGGGGTTTTAAAGGGTTGCAGAAGCGAAGGAGAAACGTAAGAAATGTCGGAAATGGCGAGGAAGGTCGCTGGTTGTGCTTGGTGATTACAAGAGGTGGAATAGCTGCGCGACGGGGGTTGAAATTGGGAGAAGGTTGGGAAGATTCGTCATCGGAAGTTGATGGAGTCAAAGGCATGCCGCCAGCCTCTGACCGTGGGCTTGAAGAAAGAGAAGATGCGGATGTTGGAGAGCCGCATTCTGACCTGTCATAGTGATGTCTTGGGGAACTGGGTGAAGGTGTGGGTGGGTGAGGGAATTTGAACGACACCTCGGTAAAAGTCAACTTGAAAGAATCGGGAGACTCTGATGGTGATGAGCTGGTTGGTGGTTTGGGGGCAGCTCGAGGAGCGGATAATAGGTCGTCAAATAATGGTGAGAGGTCGTTGTCGTCGTGAGCCGTTAAGTCGCGGGCAATTCTGATGTCTGAGACGTTTGCGCGTCTTCTCCTGGCCTTAACACCGAAAGTGTTGCTGCCCCCAGTGCTCGTGCTCGTAGAGTAGGATGGATTAGGTGAAGGTGAACGCGACGACAACCGTGATTCATCTTCCTCCAGAATTACATTGAGTGTCTTATTTCTCATGGAAGCTGGCTCCAACGCCTCGGCAGCTCTGCGGGACCTTAGAGTACGAGCTTGACGCTGAAGTATCGCGTCTCGTGAAAAGACTAGTAAAGGAAGATATATTTTGGTATTTTTGCTTCCAATTCCGAAGAGTGAGCACTCACAACTAGGAACACTAGTGGTCATGATAAGTTCGTGGATCGTTTAAATTGATGCGAGAAAATTAAATCTATGGTGGGTCCAAGTGAAAGGTCGTAAGAGTAACCAAGGGCACGATTTGGAGAGAGGGAGAGACGAAGAACTCTGACATTTCCCGTCCTTGTATTTGAAGACAGGCAGCCCATTGTACATTCCTCCGATTGTTGCAGGAATAAAGGTGTGATGGTATCAGGCACCTGCCTAATCGGGACTTGTAGCGGACTTTGAATTTGCTCTTGCATTGTTCGCCCGGTTAGTGTCCTTGTCCTCGAAATGAAATATCCTTTCTAATGGCGTCGAGCTACACGCTGGTTAGCATCCTAGCTCGCATGACAGTCATTTAATTCTCACGAGCTCCCAAGCTGTTATATCCTGTGGCTTTTACTGGGATTTTGCCGTTGTCTGTTCCCTTGTTTTCGTGTCCCCGACGAGTTTTCCTCATCTTGTTGAATGACTGAGACCATCTAAATAAAGCGTCTTTATTTAACTATGTAGACCTCAAAGGCGCACGTAAGAACCATGTTCTTCCCAGCTCGTTGGGGGTACAGCAACAGGAGTTCTATTCACTTGCATGCTTGCACTTACTCAATGACGGTGGTTACGACACCGCGGAAGCGATTCGGCATTCTGGGAGCGTGCGTTGCATTGCCAACGTCACTTTCCTGAGTACCTGAATCTTCTGGGATCCGAATGGTGGGATTAAACATTGCGCTTTGTTGGTGCCAGACCCATTGTCCTCCCGAAGTGGAATGCAAACATATGTAAACAAGTGTTTTTAATCCGGCTGTAAAAAATTTTTGATATGAACTGTTCTGGTATCGGTTTAATTGTAGGTGTGGATAGATTTATATATAATATGAGGGCAGCACTTTCAAAGTGCCACTTTGATTTTCTTTTCGTGACTGCTCTTCCTTTGGCGTTGTTTGTGTACCTGGCGAGGCCAAATATATCCACCAAAATGTCAGTGCACAGCCACCCGGAGTGATCGGAGGCGGATCGTCGTTTAACGTTCAAGGTCTCTGCACCAGGCGTCTGCTTTGTCTGGAAAGAACCACTTCCGCTCATAATTTCAAATTATAAGGCAAAGTACGAAGGACTGCTACGCACTGCCCCTTTGACTCGGGCGAAATTTTTAAAAATTTACATTAGGATCCGTGATCGGTGGTCCGGCATGTATATTACCCTCCTTCCAACCTCCTCTAGAGGGAGGCAAAAATAAACTCATTAGCCCACCGCGAGGGTCGAACTCGCAGCCTTCAGATGGCCAATGCCATAGCTTTAAGAGTCTGACGCTCTATCCGATTGAGCTAGGCGGGCACAGGTTTGCGCACTTCACAGGTCCTTCTGATTAGTGGACGTGCTAGATACACTAAACACAAAGAAACTAGAACCTCTTAGTAGGATTCTTTAGTGGACAAAAACATAATATACTCGATTACCAAGAGTGATGCCATCAGTATTAAGCAGCAAAAAGCACAACTACTTCTATCACTTGGACTACCGACTATAAATAATTATCAAGACGGCCTACAATGTAAGGAAGAGGATAGAAATGGTGTGGATTATTTGGTGCTTATAGAATGGGCAAAATTTGATACACATTTCCTATAGCCCACCGCGAGGGTCGAACTCGCAGCCTTCAGATTTGCCCGATGCCTAAGTCGTAAAAGTCTGACGCTCTATCCGATTGAGCTAGGCGGGCACATAAGGTTATTACTGCTTCTTACTTGAGCCTGCGAGTCTCTAGCTGCGTCTTACTTAACTTGGCGAACCGTTGCTTGTCCGAGCTCTTTTCCTTCTCACCCCACCCTGACCAGATTCTCACTCAGCCTATAACTGACGCATTTATCGTTCCTATGATTATCACGTTCGTCTTTCAATGTTCACCACCTTTACGGATCAAAGCACCGAAAGCACTGATCCGTAAGTCGTCCATTTACTTGGGCGCTTTTGCTGCTTTTTTCACTTTTCCAGGATTTACTGCAGGTGGAAAAGTAAAAATGGAAAACAGCTAATTACTTGATTGAATATGTAAGTGAGAGATATAATGTCCACCTTGTCGGAACAGGTAGAGGAGACAGGATCCTCAGGCAGGGAAGGCCAAGCGGCATGCCTTTTCGGTGGCAGCTTTTTCGGATCCTAGGCTAGAACTCCGAAACCCCAAAAATTGCGCTTTTTTGTGCCTTTTTTTCACCTTTTTCGCTTGCGCAACCTAAAAAAAGCTAACGGATAAAGTACCGATGCAGACGTGAAAATATAATCGTCATCATCTACGTCTTTGGCCAATAGCAAAACGCCTGTTAGGCATCTACTAAAGGTCGCCTAGAGGTCGCCGCTGCAGTTTTCCCTCCGAATTGCCATCTAATGCGAAGTCTTACGAAGTGCCCCATTAGAATATACTGGCCTCACGGGAACCTTTAACCAGTTCTTGTCAGCAGGACGCGCAGAGTCTAGACAGGAAGTAATTCCGGTTCCATGTGTGCAGCTTGTCGGCATGGAACCTCGAGGATAGACCGCGTAAGAGAAGCAATCACTATAGAAGCTGTGACTGACTCACGTTTCCAGGATTTAATAGTACAGTCCCTCCCGATGCAGTATTTTATCCGCGACAAGGTTTCCTCTACAACAGCGCAGGAGTCGGCTATGTTCATGAGAAAGAAATTGTGCGCAGTATGCGCGCTGATCCAATGATCTAAAAGTTTCATGGCTTCGTACAGCCGTCCAGTGTATTTGTGTGCAATAAAACTGCGCAATGTACGAAAAGCAATGTCATTGACAGGAATCCCCCAACACTGCGGCTTCCGGAAGCCGTTACAACTGCTGGACAAGGCTTCATCAAAAATAATTGATAGTATATAAGCCCTCTAATACAGACTTGGAAGGACAGGCCTCAAATTCTTATCCAGCTTCTCCTCCTTCGAAAATGCATTTGATCACCACTTTCTCAGCTTTTCTCGCTCTCTTTAGCCATGCAGCGACGGCCTTTCCGGCTTATGGCTCACTCGCAGGTTTGACTCCAGAACAGCTCGATGAAATTATTCCTACTCTCGAAATTCGCGAGCCCGCGACGCCTCCTGGTCCATTGAAAGATACTTCGGCCAAGCTCGTCAATGACAAGGCTCATCCTTGGAAACCTCTTGCGCCAGGTGATATTCGTGGCCCCTGCCCTGGCTTGAATACGCTTGCATCTCACGGAGTACATCTCACTAGCGACTCTTTTTGATATTATGCTGCTGACCATTAAATTTCACAGTGGCTCCCCCGAAACGGCATAGCCAGTCCAGCCCAAATTGTTGAAGCCGTTCAAGAAGGTATATTTCCGTGTCTTTTGTTTGAGGGATATGCGTCGCTCATCTACAAATTTCTGATAGGTTTTAACATGGAGAACAGCCTGGCCTTTTTCGTCACTTACGGTGCTCATCTCGTGGATGGTAATCTGCTCACCGACAAGCTAAGCATCGGTGGCAAAACGTCCCTCACTGGCCCCAATCCTCCCGCTCCTGCTATTGCCGGTGGCTTGAACACTCACGCCGTATTCGAGGGTAAGAAAAAATTTAAATGCTTCACAGGAGCAGACTAACATATTCTATGCCAGGCGACACCAGTATGACTCGTGGTACGTCTTCCTTCCTACTGCCTCTCGCATCGTCCCAATAACGATTTTTTTAGCTGACTTTTTCTTTGGCGATAACCACGACTTTAACGAAACCCTTTTTGACGAGGTACGTCTTCATTGAAAGTACGCGTACTAGTTCTAACGCAGAATTAGATGGTCAAGTTTGCCAACAAGTTCGGAGCTGGTAAATACAACTTGACCGTCGCTGGAGAATTTAGGTGGCAGCGTATTCAAGACTCGATAGCCACCAACCCTACCATGTCCTTCGTGTCTCCTCGCTACTATACCGCATATGCCGAGTCCGTCTTCCCGCTCAACTTCTTTATCGACGGACGTCAAACCGACGGTCAATTAGACATGACCGTCGCCCGTGGATTCTTCCAGAATAGCCGCATGCCAGACGACTTTTTCCGTGCTAATGGTACAAGAGCCTCGGAGGGATTCGATGATGTGGTTGCTGCCCATCCTATCCAGCCTGGTAGGAATGTCGACCGCGTCAACAACTATGTCCTGGATCCCACTTCGGCGGACTTTAGCGTCCCCGGCTCCTGTCCCCTGTACACCACTTTCGTCAACCAGACCGTCCGCAGCCTTTACCCCACCCCTACAGGAGCTTTGCGCTCAGCTCTGAACAAGAATCTGGACTTTTTCTTCCAGGGCGTGAATGGATCGGGCTGCACTCAGATCTTCCCATTCGGAACGGATTAATCGTCAAGTTTCAGGTACCTCCTTCACATTCTTTTCCTACCTATAACTTGGCATACGTCCGAAATATTGTGCTAGTCGTAGTACAATAACTGCTATCAGTTGAATTTTATTGCGCAACTACTTTTAATACTTAAGTTAACCTCCTGAGATCATTCAAGTAAATGTTGAGTCTAACGTGGCCAAGACCAGGAATCACTGTGAGGTCAAGGGAAAAGGTATAGCTACCGCCTGGTGTAAAAATCTTGACCAAATCATTGCTCGATCAAGCATGATTTCGTGTAAGAAAAGTGATGTATAAAAGTAGCACATTTTACGAAGTAATACCGACCTAGTGCTTTTTACAATCACCCAATGCGCCTGAAATTAAACAGAAACATGTAGTATGGTAAGATCTTGGGTATTGCAAAATATAAAATAAATTGGATAAGATTTGACTTTGGAAATTCAATTTGTCCCAAGGAACGTCAGTATAAGTACTGTAACCCAATCTGCCGTGGGTTGTAGTTACGCTTTATTTCAGCCGGCTCTTCCGAATACCAGGGAATTAAACTGTTGGAATTCACGAAGAAGCCGTCCAAGTTACTCAAGCGCACACGACGACACCAGCATATCACGAGGATTTCTAATTCCTCACCTTTCCATTCCTTTTATTGTTTCTCTCCATTTCTATTTCATGCCCCTGCCATTTAATTCGCTTCCCCACCGATTTCCGTACTCAACTCAAATGGGTCGTTGTAATTACATTTTGTACTTATATCGTAGCTTCGAAACCAAATACCTCGCGCGTTTGCGAGGGTCCCTTTTCAACCCGGTTAAACATCGCGGAACCGTTTATCTCAACATAAACGACATACTTAGTCGTTCGGTAAGTAAATGGAAAGGGAGGTAGTGCCTGATGTGGTTGTCGGACGTGAACCGGCAAGACTAATTTTTCGATCTCCGCTTCCTCGTTTAGAACCGTCAACCAGCGTCCACTGGGCAGCATGCTAGTCCTTCAGTTCTGTGATGATACTTTCAGATAGACAAACCTCCGATGTCCTCAATCTTATCTAACTCCCAAAATGTCTTGATTACTGGTGGGCAATTGATCAACAATAACACAAGGATTGAAAGCGTCGGTTTTCATGCCAATGGTGAGTTCAACTTGGCACCCTCATTTACGCAAAAATCTATCCTACGTTCTGACTAAGTTGGTCTACTTCCTCAGGAATTGATATACTTCGTCACCGAACAGCCTTAAGTGCTTTAATTGATTCGACGGAACGCTTTGACCCTCCAAAATGCGCACCGGACACGAGAGTAGCTATCATTCAGAACATCATGGATTGGATCGGCAGAGAAGACGAATGCTCTTCGGTGATATGGCTCTATGGGCCAGCGGGTTCAGGCAAGTCAGCTCTCGCCCAGACTGTTGCCGAAATATGCGAAAAACAACACCGTTTATTGGCCAGCTTTTTCTTTTCTCGAACGGCGCCTAGTCGAAGCGACGGACGATTGTTGGTAGCCACTCTGGCATACCAGCTCAGTATAGCCTTACCATCCACTCGGCGTTCTATTCAAGAATGCGTGGAAGAAGATCCAACGATATTCGACCGGTCTAACGAATCACAGATGGCGCGTCTCTTTGTCGACCCCATCAATCGCTTCTCCCGTTCTTGGATGCATAATATCTCCAACTTTACGAAGCAATATACGGGCTGCGTCATTGCTTATGAGCCTCGCGTCGTCGTGATCGATGGCCTTGATGAGTGCCACGATTTCAGGGTGCAAATCAACCTACTTTCCGTCATCGGTGAGGCAGTGGAACGGCTCAAGTTACCCATCAAATTCATCATTTCCAGTCGACCTGAATCACACATTCTCCGTGTTTTCAACCACCATTCAACATTTCGGGCATTGGATATTCTTACTATAAACCTTGCCACGGAGAATGACTCCCACCGTGATATCCGAGTCTTTTTACAAATGCAATTTGAAGAAATCAGACGTACCCACCCTTTGCGCTCATACCTACTCGAAACGTGGCCCAGGCCTGAGGCGATTCGCGAACTCGTTCGTAAATCTTCTGGTCAATTCATATATGCGTCAACTGTAATAAAATATATTCAGTCTCCTAAGCACAGGCCGGACGATCGTCTGGCTGTGATCCTGGGCCTTTATCCTGCACCCTCTCATGAAGCACCTTTTGCAGAACTTGACGCCCTATATAGCCACATTTTTTCTTCTGTATATGACATCCAATCAGTTCTGAAAATTTTCGGTGCTCTCATTATACCCAGAAGCAAAGGTGACGGTCTTGGTAATTTTACTAGTCCCAACGCTTTGGACATACTTCTATTCTTTAAACCCGGAACTGCTTTGCTTCTTCTTAGCGACTT